TTCTAGACTTTTTCTTATTGACTTGTAAGAATTATTTATATTTTATGAATATGACCAACATATATATTGCAAGTACTTTCTCCCATCCTAGGCTAACCTTTTTATTCTCCTAATAGTATTTTCATGAATAAAAGTTACTAATTTTAAGGTAAGTCAATTTCAGTATAAAGGTCATGAAAATATAACATACTCATATTCTCTTCTAAACATTTTATTCTACCTTAATACATAGATCTATAATACATCTAGATTTGTTTTGGACTGTGAGGTAGGAGTCAACATTCCTATTTTTCTAGACACAATTGGATCAGTACCATTTATTGAAAAAAAATCCTTTCCCTGTCTTGTCTTAAATGAAATAACTACATATGCTAGCAGATCATTTTCCCTACAAGTCATCGAATATGTCAAATCTATTGGAACATTTCTAGATAAGAGCACCAAGAAAATCACCTTACCAAATCAGGGCTCAAGTGCCAATCTTCACTCTAGTCGACTCTTCAGCAACATCTGACATATCTGATGAATCCCTCTGCTTCCTGCTACTGCTTCATCCCTCTACTGCTTCATTTAGATGTGCTTTCTCCTTTCAAAAACTCACGTTGAAAGGTGGTATGGAATGTAACAGTATTGAGAGGTGGTGAGACCTTTAAGAGATGCTTGTACCATTGGGGTTCTGCCCTTATGAGATGAATGCTATTCTTGTGGAAATGAGTTTTCGCTGGAGAAGTAAATTATCATGTTTCTCTATTTGACCCAAACCCACCTGCCTTTCTGTTTTTCTGCCATGTAGTGATGTAGTATGAGGCCTTTGACAGATAATGGTAAGCCACCAGTCTTGGGTTTCCCGTGTCCAGACATGAGCTAAACAAACTTCCTTCCATAAACTGTCCACTCTCAGGTGTTCTTTAATAGTATAGCAAACTATGTAAGAAAACTACCTAATTATTGCACCTGATATCACAAGGAACAGAGGAAAGCTTTCCCTACTGAGGGCGGCTCAAATGCAGATATCTCAGCCAAACCATTACTATTGTTGTTGTTTTAATACAGTAAATTACAGGTGTTTGCTATACAGAAATAATAGTAAATGTGAGTTTTTATTTTTGGCAGTACTGGGAACCAAACCCAGGGTGCTTTACCACTGACCTACATCCTTAGCCCTTTTAAATTTTTTTGAGCCAGGATCTCCCTAAGTTGTCCAGGCTAGGCTTAAACCTGTGATCCTCCTGCCTCAGCCTTTTTGAGAAGCTGGAATTACAGGTATGCATTACAATGCCCAGTAACTTTTTTTTTCATTGGTGGCATAACATTTGATCTTTTAACTAAGAAATTTACCATTAGAATGATCTAATTAACCATTCACTTCCCCTGAAAACACCATTTCCCATGAGAACATCTCAAGTGGTGGCTGTTTTTTCTTTTTTTCACAAACTTCATGCCACTATCCTCCTTGTACTTCATTGCTGGTATCAGACAACTGTTCCTTCTTGTCTGTATTGGTTACTTTTCTCTTATTGGTGAGACAAAATATCTGATGCCCAAATTAAAGAGGGAAAGGTTTATTTAGCTCACAGTTTGTAGAGGTTTCAGTCCATAATCAGCTGGTTCCAAAGCACGGTGGTATGAGGGGCCACAGTTCATCTTGAACTCGCAAGGATCCTCCTGCCTCGGCCTCAGTGCTGGGATTACAAGTGTGCACCACCACACCTGGCTTTTTGCTCCCTTACACTGTAAGCAGACTATCTGCCCTAGGGTAGGTCTTCTACCCGCTAGGATGTAGAACTGCTGGTTCACTTAGTTAAGCTTCTAAACTTCTCAAATTGACACAATATAACAACCATTATATTCTCTAAAATATAATGTCATCATTTCATTGGCTTATACTATGTATTATCTCTTCCTGTGGCAGTGATTTGTTGACATACAGGTTCTTGCCCCTTGGGAATTTTATTAAAAACAATTTTTGTTCTTGAGACAGGTTCTTGCTATGTCACCACTTAGAACTTGTGGACTCAAGTGATTCTCCCACCTCAGCCTCCCAAGCAGTTGGGGATACAGGCATGTATTATTACCATGCTTGACTCCCCCTTGAGAAATTTTAGCTCCTGGCCTGACCGGAGCCGCGGGAGACAGGAGACCAAACTCGAGCAGGATCAGCTCTCAAACTTTATTACGTACAGCGAACCGGACCTGACAAGGTCCGCCACCCTCAGTGTTGCTTCCCCTTCCGCCGTTGGGGGCAGGAACAACCTCTTATAAGGGGAAGCAGTATCCAATCACAGAGAAGCGCGCCTAACAAGCTGATAGGCTAGCGTCACGGGTAACTGGGCAGATATGACAATTTGGCGGGCTTGTTCAGGCCGGGAAGAACCCGGAAGCAGGAAATGGGCGCCATTCATAGGCGGCTTCCCACATCTCCCCCTTTTTTATTTATTAAAATAGGATGGTCTGTGGGTCCCTCCAAGGTGTCTATGACCTTGTTGCTGTTAGACACCTAGGAGTGGGCCTACCTTGTAGGCCGAGGCATGAGAGAATGTAGAGGTCTATACCCTGCTGTGCATCACCCTGTTTTGTGCATATCCTTGCGCCAGGACCATGCTCAAGGTGAGTGGTTCATTTTTTCGCAGGGCCAGGCTTTTGTGAACCGAACCTGGATGCATATAGACATTCATTCCTGCCTTCCCCCCAACCTTTGAGGCGGATGGCACTGCAGTACCCTTGGTCTCGCATCTCAATGCCAATAATTTGACTCCAGAAGGGACCCCTGGCCTTATAGGCCATGTATATCTGAGTGGAGCCTGTCTTAGGTTGACCGGGAGGGCTTTTCCCGTCTTACCCGTCATTGGCTTGCCCACTCAGCTCTTATAGCTGATGTTCTGCAATGTGAAGGAGATATGCGGCGGCCTGCTGGCCTGATGGGCCACCTGCTGCCATTTGCATGGCTGCCATAGCTGTGATCTTAACCTGCTGCTGAATTTGTATGAGGCGATCTAACAAGCATTTAATAACCACAAGCCCCACTAGGAAGGCCACGGCAATCAGGATCCAAGTAGTCAGGTTGGGCCAGGAGAACCAGGAGGTGACGCGTTCCCACAAACTGGCTATAACACTGCCTAAAGTTGATAAATCGAACCTGACTGGACCTAGTTGGATACCGTCCATATTGTCAAGTTCCTGACCGACTATGAGGGACAAATTGTGAAACTTAGGTAGGTAGGTGTCTTGCAGCCAAGCTGTCATATTTTTAACAGTGTTGGTCAAATTTGTGCGAACAGGGGTGATTAATAGGAACCCACAGAATAGAAAAAGCTCCAAACCAGACATTTTAGTTTGTAGATGGTCTCGGGCGCTGAGCATCAGTCCCAGAAGGGTCGAGTTGACTTGTGTCCGTGGGCTTATCCTCCTGTGCTTTATCAGGAACTGGTGGGGAGTTTACTGCTCGCGTCAATCTTTCTGGGACCCACAGCGGTTCACAGCCTGGTTCCTGTGGGAAGACACAAACCGCACCTCGGGTCCAGCTAATCACTGGATCCGGGCCCATCCATTGTCCTGTAAGGACATCTTTCCATCTCACCAGCCCTTTGTCGGCCGGGGACGGGTTATTGTGCTCCATGGCAGGGGAATGATTATTGTGATTAAGATTTTAAAAATTTATGGTAAAGAGTGCCAATGATATTCTTCCTTTGGGCGTTAGGCCATGGCCTATTCCCTCCTTTTGTTTTTGTAAGACATCCTTGAGTGTCCGATGGGATCGCTCAATGATGCCTTGTCCTTGGGGGTTGTAAGGAATGCCATGTTTAAGAGTGACTTCCATTTGTTGACAAAATGTCATAAAAATTTTGCTGGTATAGGCAGGACCATTGTCTGTTTTTAGTATATTGGGCTTTCCCCAAGCAGCCCAGGCTGCCAGGCAATGATTAATAACGTGGGTGGCCCTTTCTCCGGGTTCTGCCGAGGCAAACATAACCTGGGAGGCGGTATCTACCGAAACATGAACATATTTAAGTTTTCCGAATTCTGGGATGTGTGTAACATCCATTTGCCAAATATGATTTGGGCGAAGTCCTCTTGGGTTAATGCCAATAGATTGTTGGGGTGAAGAGATCACACAAGCTGGGCAATACCGTACAATCTCTCGTGCTTGTGCTCTCGTGATGTTGAAACGCGCCATGAGGGTGCGGGCATTAACATGGAACTGAGAGTGGAATTTTTGGGCTGCTTCCAGAGGGTTGGGAAAGGTGAAGACCCATATCGGGCACGTGGCCGAGTCTGCCAAGGCATTGCCCTCCGCCAAGGGCCCAGGTAAATTAGTATGGGCTCTGATATGTGAGATGAACACTTTTGAGGTTCTATTCCATAGCTGATGTTGAATACCTAGGAATATGGAGGCTACCGTTGAAGAGGGTTTAATGGGACCCGCCGTCTCCAGAACTTGGAGAGCATTTACCACATACTTGGAGTCTGACAGGAGGTTAACGTCGCCTGGGAAGCGACGTAAGACTTCCTGTATTATCTGGAGCTCGACCACCTGGGGTTGGTCTGGAGTGAATTGGATAGTTTTTGGCTCTTGATCCATAACCGCATATGCGCCTATGCCTGATTTGGAGCCATCCGTGAAGATTATTGGAGCTCCAGTTATGGGGTATGCGGATGTAACCTTGGGAAAAATCACAGGGTGTACTGTAATAAACTGAAGTAGTGGGTCTTTTGGGAATTGATTATCTATGGTCCCTTGAAATGTACACCGGAGAATCGCCCAGGAATCTAGACATGTTGTTAAGGTCTCAATTTGTTCTCTTGTGTATGGTACATGTAGGGAGGAAGGAGGCACCCCAAAGTGTTGTATGGCTCGTGAGATGCCCTCTAGAGAAAGGGAAGCGACCGCGTCTGGATAATGGTCAATAGCCTTAGCAGGAGACATTTTTGGGTGGACCCAAAGCAAGGGTCCTTGCTGCCAAATGACAGCCGTAGGTTGTCTAGCTGTTTTGAGAACGCACAAGGCGAAGGTCTTTTCTGGATTAATACGCCTTAATGCGGCCGTGGTCAGGGCCCACTCTACTGCTTGTAGTGCCACTTCTGCCTCCGGCGTAAGTTCTCGGGATGAATTTAAGTCAGGGTCTCCCTTAAGTAAGTCAAACAGGGGTTTTAATTTGCTGTTAGGTAAGGCCAAGTACGGCCTGATCCAATTGATATCCCCAATTAATTTTTGCATGTCATGTAAACTTAGGATCGTATCACGCCGGATAACCAATTTTAATGGTGATACCTGAGAGGAAGTAATTTTTGTCCCTAAATATTGGGCTATCTCTGACCGCTGGATCTTGTCTGGGGCAATGTGCAGATTAGCGGCTCTAAGAGTAGAGACCAGCTGTCTAAGCATTTGCTCTAAGCTCGGGAGGTCCTTTCCTGATATTAGGATGTCGTCCATATAATGGAGGCATCTATTTTTTGGGAATTTATGTCTTATGGGCTCTATGACAGCGTCGACAAACAATTGGCACATAGTGGGACTGTTGGTCATCCCTTGGGGTAACATTATCCACTCATATCTAAGGTCTGGCTTTTCCTGATTGATAGTGGGCAAGGTAAAAGTGAAGCGAGGTGAATCATCTGGGTGAAGAGGGATGGAAAAAAAGCAATCTTTAAGATCAATGACATAGACCGGCCAATTTTGTGGGAGCGCTGATAGTGCAGGCATGCCTCTCTGAACTGCACCCAGGGGTTGCATCTGAGCATTGACTGCCCTCAGGTCATGGAGGAGCCGCCATTTTCCCGAGCGCTTTATAATGACAAAAATAGGGGTATTCCAGGGGGAGGTTGATGGTCTGATATGTCCCGCCTGGAGTTGGTCCTGAATTAGCTCCAGAGCAGCTTCTGCCTTCTCCTTTGGTAGGGGCCACTGTTGAACCCACACAGGGGTGTCAGTTTTCCAAGTAATTTTTATAGGTTCAGGTGTGAGAAGGCTTTCAGTGACCCCTAGGAAAAACCCAGTCCTTTTTTGTCTTGTTTGGGGCTGCCTTGAATAGGTGAGGTTCGGCCTTGTAGGTGAACACCTAGGCCCTTTCCAGGGATATACCCTTGTTTTAGCAACATGGAGTGAGCTTTTTGGGAGTAGATGTTAGTTAAGGTGATGCCCATGTCTGTCAAAATATCTCTTCCCCATAGAGATACGGGAAGCTGGAGTACGAAGGGACGGAAGTGACCAGAATGACCTTCCTTGTTGCACCATGTCAGGAGCGAAGCACTCACCTTAGGGGCGTGGACAAACCCAAGCCCCTGTAGGCTCTGGGATGCCACATCTGTGGGCCAAGAGCTAGGCCAATCTTTTTGTGAAATGATTGAGCGATCTGCTCCTGTGTCAAGCAAGCCTTTAATGGGTCTGCCATTGATGTCAATGGTTAGCATAGGACGTTCTTGCAACGTCAAATGTAAGCCTTCAAAGGTATCCCCGGAAGAGCCGAAGCCCTGAGCGCCTCGGGTTAGGTTTCTCGCGGGGAAGTTTTTATGAAGGCTTGGTAGAACCAACAGCTGGGCTATTTTATCTCCTTTATTAATGATAATCGTGCCTTGTAGGGCTTGAACCATAATTTTGATGGTGCCAGTGAAATCTGAGTCAATTACACCTGGGATGATTGTAAGGCCCCTGAGTGCCACCGAGGACCTCCCCAATAGAAGTCCAACCGTGTCTGGCAGAAGGGGATTTGGCAGGGAGGTTTCAACTAATTGTACTCCCATCTCAGGTGTTAATAGGAGGTCGGAGGTGGCACTGAGGTCCAGCCCTGCTGAGCCTGGGGTTGCCCGCCTAAAGGGACCTGGGGTGTTTGTGGTTGCTGGGGCTGGAACTGAAGGAAGGTTTGGGCCAGAGGGGGCCCCGCCTGCAGGAGGGGCCCCCTTCGGCCGTTTTTTGGCTGATTGTCTGGACATCCTGAAAGCCTATTGCCATCTTTATCGAATATCGACCGGCACTCGGCTGCTGAATGATTACCTTTTTGGCATCTTGGGCATAATCCAGGGCCAGGGGCTCCTCCCTGCCCGATCTGTTTGTTGGGGCAATTACGCTTAATGTGTCCTAGTTGGCCACAGCCAAAGCAAGAAGTGTTGTTTCTATTTTTATTTCTATTGCCCCCTACCCGAGGCTTGCCTCCGTTGGCAGCGCCTTGAAGGGCAGCGACCATGGCGGCAACGAGCCCGTGATTAGTTACCGGGCCGCCCAGTTCACGGCACAGGCGTGTCCACTCTTCTAAAGACCTATTTTTGTTGGACCTTAGGACATCACGACACTCTTTAGTGCACTGTTCGAAAATCAGTTGTTTTATGAGAGGGTGAGCCGCCTCAGCGTCTGGAAAAATTCTGTTAGCGGCCTCAAGCATGCGGGCCACGAAATCGGAAAAGGGCTCCCCCTGCTGTTGTAAAATTTTTGTGAGGTGGCCCGTATGCTCTCCCTTTCCAGCCAGCCGTCTCCAGGCCTGAAGGCCACAGTGACTGATTTGTTCATAAACCTGGCGAGGGTACTGGGTCTGATCTTCCTCGAAAGCTCCTCGCCCTAATAACATGTCTCTGTTCCAATCTCTTTGGCCATGTTCCCGGTTAGCCGCCGCCTGCTCTACGCAGAATTCCTCATTCCAAGACTTCCAATCTAAATACTGTCCGGGGGAAAGGCAGGCACGCGCCAGCTGGGTCCAATCTCCCGGAGTTAAATACAGGCCAGCCAATGCCTCTAAAAGCGCCATGGTAAATGGTGCATTGGGCCCATAAGCTGAAACTGCATCCTTGATAGCTTTAAGTTGTTTAATTTCTAAGGGCTCATAATATCCTCCTCCTCCCCTGCCTCCTACTTGTACCGGGAATGCATGGAGACCGGGACACTCAAAAGGAAGCCGCGACCATACCCTCTGGTGGAAGGAACATCCTCCTCCTCCCCCAGAAGGGGGCGCAGGAGGTAACCCAGGAAATAGCTCTCCCTCTAACCAGGGCGGTGCCATGGATTGTGGGCGCCCTCCGGCGGCCACGGGTGGAGGTGGCAGCCCAGGGAGCAACTCCTCTTCCGGCCACGGCGGTGCAGTAGGGCCTGGTGTACTAAAGGGGGCGACCATGGGTCGCGAGCTTGCCAAGGAGCGGAAGGGCCTAAGTTCCTCCCGCGAAGCAGAGTAGCTCGGGCAGGGTGGTGTTTGGTTCCCCTTTTTATCTTCCCGAGCCCTAAGTTCCTTTTTTAACGGTGTAGGAGGGTCATGCTTAGCAAAGACGACCTCCTCTTCTGAGCCCTCCAAATCCGAATCAGAATCGGAGCCCTTATGTTTCTCTGGAGGCCCAAAGTCAGGTGTGACTTCGGGCTCCTCCGAGCACTCGGATCGAGCTTTGTCAAGAGCCTGTCGGGCTGAGCAAAGCCCGGGGGTTTGTTTAACACTATCCAGAAACCTCGAAAGGGTGACCCGGTTTATGTAGATGCCTCGGGTCCGCAGCAGGACTCTTAGGGAGTCAGCGAGGGGTTTGCGAGCAGCGTTGCCCACAATGGCAAAGCGAAAGCGAAACAAATGCAAGGGGAAAGAAAAAAAAGACCGGTGTCCACCCGTGTGGCGCTCAAAATCTGTTAGGTGCGTCCACCCAACCCAGGTGATTCAGTACTCACCTGTCCCGGGAACCGCTGTATCTCACGTAGCTGATCAGGGTGAAGAGAAGAGGTGCTCGGGGCCTTCCGTTGTTATTGAGCCGGGTTCTCCGTCGTACCGCAGGTGACAGCAGCCGCGCCCGCGCGTCGCTGAACCTTCCCCGTGCGGGCTACCAGATGACCGGAGCCGCGGGAGACAGGAGACCAAACTCGAGCAGGATCAGCTCTCAAACTTTATTACGTACAGCGAACCGGACCTGACAAGGTCCGCCACCCTCAGTGTTGCTTCCTCTTCCGCCGTTGGGGGCAGGAACAACCTCTTATAAGGGGAAGCAGTATCCAATCACAGAGAAGCGCGCCTAACAAGCTGATAGGCTAGCGTCACGGGTAACTGGGCAGATATGACAATTTGGCGGGCTTGTTCAGGCCCGGAAGAACCCGGAAGCAGGAAATGGGCGCCATTCATAGGCGGCTTCCCACACTGGCCCATGTCATTATCTGTAATACTACTAATCTCAATTTTCAGTGATTTCAAATATTCACACACTATCTAATTAATGGAGAACTGAAAAGCTAATATTCACTTGCTAACTTCTTCTAACACCAAACTGTAGTAAATCCCTAAATTCTATTTCTACAATCTTGTTTTTCATCCTAATTCATTTACTCCTCATATTACTATTCTAAACCCTGTCATTAGCAGTAAGTGCATTATTCAAAATTTCAAGTGCCCTTCTCTCTGATTATCTTCACATTGCCTTTCACCTCACTCATTTCTTCTACTTCTTACCTATCTTAAGGGGGGGGGCACTTGTAATCCCAGCACTGGGGCTGGGGATTTAGCTCAGTGGCATAAGTGCCTGCCTTGCAAGCAGGCAGTCATGAGTTCGATCCCCGGTAGTGATAAAAAGGAAAAAGACCAAAAAAAAATTTATACTCAGTTGTCTGAGCATGTGGCTACATCCCTATAATCCCAACACTTGGCAGTCTGACATGGAAGGATCACTGCAAATTCTAGGCCTGGGCTACATAGTGCGTTCAAGGCCAGCCTGGACTACACAGTGAGACCCTGCCTCAAAAACAAAACATACACACATTTTTTCCAACTATATCACTCAACTTTCTAATCATTATCAACAGTGTTTCTCAAAAGAATACTACTTCTGTTCTTTCTTCATTCCTGGTAGAAGGTTGAATATATTGGAGATGAGGAATTATTTATTCAATGAGTATAGGAACATGAATTATAGAGGAGAGAAGAGGAGCATATAAAAGGAAGAGCCTGAACTTCTGGTATCATTGCTTACTGTCTTAGCAGGTTACTATATAATTCCAGCTGGGTAACATTATTAGGTTAAACAGCTGAAATAATCACATGCCCTATAGAAAAAAAATTAATTAGGAACAAGAAAATATCAACATATATGAGCCATGGTTTATTTCAGAACAGAATATATTAATTAGTCTCTTCTTGGTTCCACTTGAAACTCAGTCTAAACAAAGTGCTGCTGGATGAAAGGGTGGAGGGAAAAAAAAAAGACGATTATCTCTGAGCTCCCAAAATGCTAATTTAGAATGATGTTTTTCTTACTCTTTCAAGTCTCCTACTTCCAGGTCCCATATGCACTTACATAAATGATTAGAGGAAACTGGGACAAATCCTACCTAACTCAAAACCATGAAGGACAGATGAAAGAAAAACAGCCCGGACTCTTGAGCAGAAGGAATTTATCTGTGCCCAACTAGTTTTTTAACACTAAAATAAAATAGACTTGACTCAGCTGCTCAGAACTGAGCACAGAACTAAGCAGTTTATCACTGAATGAAGACGAAAAAAATCAAAGGAAATAGACTAAAAAAAAACATGCTGAGTTCTTGCTTCAGCAGCACATATACTAAAAATTGGAACGATACAGAGAAGATTAGCATGGCCCCTGCACAAGGATGACATGCAAATTCGTGAAGCGTTCCATATTTTTTAGATTAGAAAATACAAACACACTAAACCACCTTATTTTTGATAAAGGGGCCAAACATGTTCACTGGAAGAACGACAGTCTCTTTAATAAATGGTGTTGGAAAAACTGGCTCTCCATATGCCGAAAACTAAAGCTAGACCCATGTTTATCACCATGTACTAAATTAAAATCTAAATGGATCAAATCTGAATATTAAAACAGAAACACTAAATCTATTGGAAGACAAATTGGGTAAAAACCTTGTGAAGACATAGGATAGGTAGAGAATTCATGAACAGGAATCAAACCGCATAGGAAATACTTCCCAGATTGCCTCTTATTAAAAAGTTTCTGCACATCAAAAGAAATCTCCAGGATAGTGAAAAGAAAACCCACAAACTGGGAAAAAATCTTAGTGAACTGTTCCTCAGACAAAAGTTCTGTCTAAAACATATAAAGAATTTTTAAAAAACCAGACCACCAAAATTCAAAGATCCAATCCAAAAATGGGCATCTGAGATGAATACACAATTCTCAGAGGAAGAAATACAAATGGCAAATAAATACATGAAAAAATGTTCATCATCATTACTCATTAGAGAAATGCAAATTAAAACCACATTGAGATTTCATCTCGCTCCTGAAAGAATGGCCAGGATCAAGAAAACTACCAACAACAAATGCTGGACAGGCTGTGGGGAAAAAGGAACTCTCCTGCACTGTTGGTGGGAGTGTAGACTGGTGCAACCATCGGTCAGTCTGGAGATTTCTCAAAAAGCTGGGATTGGAAGTCCCATTTATTCCAGCTATTCTACTTCTAGGTATATTCCCAGAAAAACTGAAAACATCATACCACAGTGATACATATGCACCCATATTTATAGCAGCACAATTTGTAATAGGCAGATCTTGGAAACAACCTAAGTGTCCATCAACTGAGGAATGGATAAAAAAGTTGTAGTATTTCTATACAATGGAGTACTACTCAGCTACAAAGAATGATCACATTGAGATATTTATAAATAAATGGGCACAGCTTGAGACCATATTCATAAGCAAAATAAATCAAACTCACATGTATAAATACTGAATAGTTTCCCTAATGTAAGAAATGGTAAGAATACATAGTATGTGGTAAACATGATTCTCCATTATATTACTTTGAAGCCTTATAATGTTTTCATTCATTAATTGGAATGGTTTTATTCTGGATTATTTGATTTTATTGTCTGTGATGGTATGAACAGTTATTTTGAAGAAAACAAGACAATATAATAGCTAGTGCTGATTTAATATCATCTTATTTTGAAGTCCCATCAAGCCTTTGTTCTTCTGTCTCCATCGGTTTATCATGTTATATTTTTTTTTGTCTTTTTCCTTTTTATTGGTACCAGGGATCGAACTCACGACTGCCTGCTTGCAAGGCAGGCGCTTATGCCGCTGAGCTATATCCCCAGCCCCTATCATGTTATATCTTATTGGATTTTATTACATGTGATAGTATAAACAAAATTTTTTATAGACGAGATAATATAGAAACCATTGTTCATTTTCTGTTAGTTGGTTCTAAATACCCTGTAATTCTTTCATTCTCTTGAATGGTTTTACACTGTCATGTTGTGTTTGATGCTATAATATACTACGTTATACTCAAATGTTTCAAAAAAAAGACACTATGGTAGCTACTGTTATGTCTGGTTATCTTGTGGTGAAACACTATGTTGCTTAAATTGTTCTGTTCGGACCTCTGTTATTATGTTGTTATGCCCTCTTTTATCTTAATCTCCTTTCTTTTTTTTTAATAAAAAAACGTGCTGAGCACACGTATATTCTAGCACTCAGGAGGCTGAGGCAGGAAGATCACTGTCAGATTGAGATGAACCTGGACTACATAGTGAGGAGTTTTGGGTTTTTTTTAATATATATCTATAGAATACCTTTTTTTTCCCTCCCCAGTACCAGGGATCAAACTCACGACTGCCTGCTTGCAAGGCAGGTGTTTCTGCTGCTGAGCTAAATCCCCAGCCCCCTCTATATAAAATACTTAATGAATTTGCATCTCATCCTTGTGGCTAGGCCATGTTAATCTTCTCTGTATCCTTATAATTTCAGTATATGTGCTGCCAAAGCAAGCACAGCTACATAGTAAGTTTAAGGCTAGTTTGAGTTACAAAAATGAGACCCTGTCTTAAAAAAAAATAAGACAAAAGGGGTCAGGGATTTTGCTCAGCAGCATAAACGCCTGCTTGGCAAGTGTGAGGTTGTGAGTTTGATCCCTTGTACCAAAAAGAAAAGAAAACAAAACAAAACAAAAAAAACAGAAAAGATCAGGATACTAGATCCAGTGTAACTAACTTGGTTTTTTATCGGTACCGGGCATCAAACTCACAACTGCCTGCCTACAGGTGCTTATGCCGCCGAGCTAAATCCCTGGCCCCACTAACTTGTATTTTTTTTTCTCTCTCTTTCTTCAGCCATTGTCTTAAAACTAACTTGTATTTTTAAAATGGGGGCTAAAATACCTTTGCTTGAATCCGAATCAGAACTTGAATCAGAGCCTTTTTTGAGGATGCTGAAGGTGCGGAATCCTCTTCCATGGTCCAGTCCTGAAGATCCAGATTCGCACCCTGTCCAGCCCGGGCTTGCTACCTCACCTGCCTCCTACCACCAGACCTTTCACCGGAAGTACCTTAGGCAGCGGTGTCCTCTGGGAAAGTTCTTCCACAAGAGCCAGGCCCTGAACCGGAAGCGCGGCCCTCAGAGTTGGCTTACGCCAAAAACGTATGGTCCTTTGAAGATGGATTTCAGAACTGGCGCGGAGGCTACCTCTACTCACAGCGACCGCCTGCCGTAGTTTAAAAGAATTGTTACTGGGTGCTGAGGAGGAACCTGGCCTGTGTTTGAGCGGCTGTGGTGGGAGACGCTTTTCATTTTGAGTATGCACGTGCGCCATGTCCGAAGGTGAGAGATCCGGTGTGTCCTGAGAGCGAAGGTTTAGCGCGTGAGGATTTGTGCGTGAAATAGTTTTGAGACCTTTTCAAAGCGTGACTGTGATTAGAAAGTGCTGTAATGTGGTGCGATATGTGTTGCAATGTGTGTAGAAGCCGTGTGAAACCGTTTTTACGGACTTCTGGCGTGCTGACAGTGACGTTCTGCAGATGACTGGATTTGACCGTGGCACATGTCTGCCACAAGTCAAGGTGAGTTTAGACCCTGACAAAAGGGAATGAGTTGGGAATATCCTGAGCCTTATGTTTGTGTATGAGAGCAATGTGATTTTGTGTGCGTCAACTGAGAAAAGTTAGAGCTAATACATATTATCAACCCAAAGAGACAAATCCCTGGGAAAGCCTTAACTTTGCTGAGAAACCATCGCTAAACATGTTACGAAAAAAAGTGTTGTTTCAGTTTGAGAACTCGTAATTTGTGTTTCTTTGTCTGATTCTTGGTCATGTATTTTGAGATGTTTTGACCTTAGACCATCGTTAGGGCAGGACAGCTAGGGACGTACATGAAAGTGTTTTTTTTTTGTGTGTGTGTGTGTGTGTGAATGTGCCCAAGTCTCTGAATGAACTGTAACAATATAATGGACGTGATTATTCTGTTGTATCTTTAAATTGATATGGGAGATCTTGTAAGAATTTTTATTATTACTGTGTGTGTGAATATTACTTATGTGAGTTAAAGTCAGGATGAAAGTGTGTGATTATTTGAGTGTAGTAAGTGTGTAAAAGATTTGAATGAGAGTGTTGTGAGATTGAGGATGAGGTAGTACTACTCTGAGAATCATTTTCCCTACCTCTAAAAGATAATGGTTAAGCTTTCTGAAATATCAGTTTTATAGTACTTGAAAATATGACATTTTTAAAGATCTAATTTAAATTAGAAACATTAGAAAATATGAAACAATTTACAGTGATGAATACAAATAGACCATGGAAGAAAATTTCAAAGAAAATCTCTGTAATAGGATAATTCTGTGGAAGTACAGATAGTATTCTTTGGGGAAATTAAGTAAGTGGAGATCTGCTAAATTTTTTTTTCTTTTTTGAGACAGGGTCTTGTGATGCAGTTCAGACTGGCCTTGAGCTCACTCTATAGCCCAGGTTGGTCTCAAACTTGGAACAATCCTCCTGCCTCAGCCTCCCGAGTGCTGGGATTAAGGCATGCAACACCATGCCTGGCAGATGTGCTAAATTCTTATTTGATTTGCAGAAGTGAAAGAATTCTAGGTCAAATTAACAAAAACTAGCTTAAATAATAAAAACAGAAAATGAGGCCCTTAATCAATTCCCAGACTTGAGCTGTATATAAACCCAGAATAAAGGGGGGAGGGAGGCAGGTCTCCCAGTAAAAGACTTCTACTACACATCCAAAAATTTATACCATAAACTTTTTCTTTCAGCCTCAACAAAGGGATTATGGCTTTCACCAGGCTTACCACATTGACCTTTTAGGGATTACTAGACACTGACTTGGAGTTGACACTAGTTCTAGGAGACCCAAAACATCGCTGTGGTCTGCCAGTCAGAGTGGGTCTTATGGTAAACAATGACCTTTAGGCTGTGGTCTATCTCAGTGGATGCAGTAGGTCCCCCAATCTTTTCTGTAGTTATTTCTCCAGTGCCAGAGTGCATAATTGGTATGTACATGCTCAGTAACTGATAGAAGCCCCACATTGAGTTAAGAGATTTGTCTTTGGAGTGAGGGTTAGTAAAGTGGAAAGGCTAAGTATAGGGAGCGGTGCGACCGCCCCGAAGCTGTCTCCCCGCCTCTCCCTCCTATGGGCACATAATGCGCCTACATTAACCATAATCCTCTCCTACTTACGTCACGTACACGGACGTGACGATGACCCCTCAGAGATCACCCCATAGCCTCTTCCTGTCCCACCAGCCTGCCCCTGCCCTATAAAAGCAGGGGCCACTTTATTACTAAAGGAGGCTTAATCAGATTTTCTTGACTTGCCTCCGTCTCTCTGTCTCCTGTCCTGTCTATGTTAATCCCCGTTCCTTCTCCAGGAAACTGCCCCACGGATCTGGATTGACCCGCAGGCTGGGTCAAGTGGCGCCCGTCCTGGGGCTCCTGGCAAGAAGGGCTCAACGAGGGAGCTGTCCTGAGACACGTGCGTAAAAGAGAAACTAAAAGTTTTGTGACCAACACTACGTGGGAGCCTGCTGTGCCAGAGTTTCCCTTTTCTCTGGCATGGGTCAGGCATTAAGTGACCATAATGCTTTGTACCAAGTTTAAGTAAAGCTTTAAAGACAAGAGGGAGAAAGCTAAAGAAAAAGATTCATTGCAGTATTTTCAATTTATTCATAAGGTTTGCCCTTGGTTTCCTTTAGAGGGCTTTATTGATGTAAAAAGGGGAAGAGTAGGAGATGCATTAAAGGATTACTATTGGGTCTTTGGCCCTGAAAAGGTCCCAGTTACAGCCTTTGCCTACTGGAACCTAATCTCGGAGCTACTTACACAGCACTGCCAAGACCCTCAAATTGATAAAACAATCACCCAAGGTGAAGCCGCTTTATGTGCTTCCACTTCGCCAACATCGCTGCCTTCAGGAGATGAATCTTGCCCTTCCTATGAGTCAAATGATATGTTAAAAAAGCCCCAAGATAGCAGCCTGCCACCATCTGAGCCCATACCACCTGAGGCCCACCACAACTCTTTATATCCCAACCTTGCTCCTTTACAAGCGGTTGATTGGAAACAATTAGCAGAAGAAGTTAGCCGACATCACTCAGACCCTATCATAGCCCCCGTTTCCATAAAACCACCCCCTCACTACCATAAGACACCCAAATTGTCCGGCCCCTCTACCGCACTCCTCGACTTAGAGTCAGAGATCCATGACTTGCAACAACAGGTCCAATTAGAACAAGAAAAACAAAGACTCATTCTGCAACTCCAAAGTTTATGAATGAGCAATTTAGATGCCACCCCTAAGATGGCGTCAGCTTCTATAATGGCGCTTGCCTCACTTCTGCCACAACAGGGTAGGCCCCTCCCAGAAATGGCATTTCTGGTGACAAACATACCTCCCCAAGATGGCGCCACACAGCTGCAAGACAGCGCGGGCGCTGCACTGCTAGCTCCACAAGTCATTAGGACCCATATGCCATTCACAGTGGCAGCTAGTGTGACAATATTGCTAGAGATAATGCCGCTATACAAATCCCCTGGACCCTTCCCATGTTAAAGGGAACTGGGGATTTTAACACCAAGGAGGCCCAAATGAGATATGATCCTGGCCTCTTTGCACAAGTTAACGCAGTCACTATGAGGGCTTGGAGAAAACTTCGCTCCAGGGGTGATGTATCCTGCTACCTCACCCAAATTAGACAAAAGCCAGAAGAGCCATTCTCTGATTTTCTTGACCATCTTGTACAGGCGGCCGAGCGCCTTTTTGGCACCATTGAAATTAATGCGGCCCTAATTAAAAATTAGCCTATGAAAATGCAACATCAGCTTGCCAAGCCATAATTTGGCCTCATAAAAAAAAGGAAGATCTATCTGGCTACATACACCTATGTGCCAACATAGGCCCTGCCTACCACCAGAGTCTAGCTATGGCTGCCACAGTCAAACAAGTCTTTCTTGTGCAAAAAAAAAATAATGGTAAATGCTTTAAATGTGACCAATCAGAGCATTTTGTCTGAGACTGCCCTCAAAGCAAAAACAAGATCCGACAAACCCCACAGAAAAAAATCAGGCCTCTGCCCTAGATGTAAAAGAGGGGATCACTGGGCCAATGAATGCCAGTCCAAAAAGGATGTACATGGTAACCCTCTACCCTCGCAGGGAAACGGCAATTGGGGCTAGTCCCAGGGCCCCAACTACTACCAAAAATCTGGAGCACCAAGGTTCATTCCAACCCAAAACAATCCATTTCAGACCTCATCAGGGAAACCCCAAGAAGCGCAGGCCTGGACCTCTGTTTCACCTCTAACACAGTATTAACCCCTGATATGGGCCCCCAGGCCATCCCCACTACAACCTTTAACCCCCCCTCCCCCTGGATGCATTGGAATTATTATAGGGTGCTGCAGCTCCACATTATAGGGACTGCAAGTATTTCCCTGGTGTTACAGACCCAGATTATATAGGGCAAACTAAGGTTATGGTCACTATCT